CATAATCTGCCTTTAGACCTGACTCCGATCCAGGTGTATTTACAACCTGAATAAGGCATATCAATTAGATTACAATCAGAAATGCAGCCCTTAAACACCAGCATATCACCCTGATTAGGGATAGAATCCCCCTTAAGATCAGCATTGTTCAAAATAGTGTTGAAATTTCCCCCCACTAACCAAGGTCCATGTAAGTTGTCAGCAATGTTAGTGAGATGATTCCACAAATCCCTTCTTTCCCCTTGAGTGTGTTTTGCATATATAGCAGTAATCCATCCAGATTTAGCAGCCCAAGTAAACTTGAAGTGTGTAAATTGAGCGTCCCAAGTGAAATCAGAAAAACTAATAACACTAGAATCCAAGAATATCCATACCTTGTTCACAGGATTAAAAACCACATCAGTAAAACCAAAATCAAGTCTAAAAGAATCAGCCTTATTTGAACCAATCAAAGGTTCAATTGCGATAAGAAAATGAATCCTCCATTTTTGAATTAATTGAGATAGTCTTAGCCCGGAGGCTGTCAGACCTCTCACATTCCATATAAGTCCATTCATTGAGAAGAGGAGGAAATATTATGTGTTTGCCTCCTGGCATCATTCCTTGTGGTCATCCCTGGTGTGTTTTGTATTATTTTCTTTTGTTTTCTCCTTCTCTCCACCTTTATGAATTCTCCTTCTTCCTCAACTTGTGACTGGTTATTAATTGTGGTTTGAATTAATGCAGATAGCAACTCAGAGTCCTCCTGGAACTTTCTTGCCTTTATCAGGTTATCAACTTTGTTAGTAAGACCAGAATGATTGATCAACCATTCATCTTTATCAACCTGTTTGAGTGGAGCTTCAGAATCTGATCCATACTCTTTGGCAGCAATTTCTGGATCAAATTCATTGGATTTGCCCAAGAGAAGGACAGAAAAATCATCTCTTATATCCTCCCTATGCTTGAAGGGTGAGATCCCAGGTAACACACTAATAAGCTGGATATCCGAACTGGAGTTTGGTGGTTTGCTTATAGAGGTTTTACTTGTATTAGGTGGCATCTCGTGGAATACCTCCTCAATATCAGATTCTGAATCTTCTTGTATAATGGAAGGCTTTTCATGTACTTGTGAAGTTGATGGCATATTCTGGGGGTGTGGTTGGAAAACAACAATCGCTTTTCCTTTGTCTTTAGTACCCCCTGATGTTATTTGATTTATAACAATGCCTGATGTAATCTGTTCAGTAACCTGTTTTGCTTCTTTTTTATCCTTAACTGAAATCTGACTTTTTGAAACCCAGGTAGGCCCCTTAGGATTGCTGTTGACTGCCTGACTAACAACCCCAACAGTCCTTTTTTTGGGACATTTGTTGGACTCATGCCCCAAATGGAAACATGATAGGCAATAAAGAGGCCTATTCTCGTAAATAACAGGCTGAGAAAACCCAGACTTACCAGTTTGAATCCAAACCTTATTAGACATTTCTTTGGTAAGATCCAACTCCACACAAACCCGCGCCTGAGAGGGCCTGGCCAACGTAGTTGTAGCAATATCCAGTTTAAGAGGCTTACCTATCAAGCCTGCAATTTCAAACATTGCTCGTTTATCATGAAGATGGATAGGTAGTCCCTCTAATGTCAGCCAAACCGGGATAATAGGTGACTCCACATTAGGTTTAAAATCAGGTGACCATTTAGTAACCCGTATAACGCTGCCATGAATATCCCACGTTTGACGATTCCAGCATCGGATGTAATCTTCTTCAAGATCAAACCGAATCAAGACATGCTTATTCTCCAAGAGTCCCAAGTGAAACCCCCCTTTAAACCCTATGATTTCGAACGATTTACGTAACGTAGACATAGGAGGCCTTCCTTTAAAGAAATATCCGACCAGTGATCGCCTGTGTTTATCAGCCAGAATTTAAATATCATCCTCTGAAAACGAAACTGCTGGCATACCTTTGTAACGAGTTTGCGTTGTAGTGAGAGTTGCGTCTTCTTTATTAAGCAAAACCGAAACAAACGATCTCTTATTTCCATTCCATACGTTCCCAGCCGCCGGTGGAGGTTGTGCCGGTGATGGATGTACCGCCTTAGGTTTAGAGCTCTCGTCCATCGTCCTCTTCAACCACAAATATAAACAATGAAGACAAGGAGTCTAATTGCGCAATTAATTTACATATATAGTGAATATGTTTTTTTAATATTAACACCATAAAAATATTTTAAAAAAAAGTTCAAATTTATTCCCAAAAAGATTGTCTATAAACATAACTTACACATGTGGAAATATAGATCTAATGTAATCTCATATTTTGTCAAATGTAAATATAAATAACCAAATTTAATGCCTTAAAAACACTAAAAACATATAAGAGAGATAAGAAATATATTATAGGAAAAAATGTATGAATATAAAAAATATATTACAAAAAATGTATAATTATAAAAAATATTTATTTTGAAGAATACAAAAAAAAATTGGTTGTAATTTCAGTTGAAGAAAAAAAAGGAAAAAAGTGTATGAATAAGGACTAAGACACAAAGAAAAAATAATTAATTTATTTTTGAAAGGATGAAAATTTGATCACAAAATGTAATACGTAGTACATATTAAGAAAATCATTTGGAAATATGATAGCTTTCGATAATTAGAACATTAAAAGTAAAGAGACAAATAAAACTTAAAAAATGAAGAACAAAAGAAACCAGAGTGGGAAAGTACAAGTGTGCAAAATTAAATGACGTTTGTTACCCAAAAAACGGTATCGTATTTGGAACAGGCATACCATGCGCATGGTATGTCGGTCATACGGTATAATTTGCTAATGGCTCTTGTCTGACTCATCTACCGGTAGACAAGTTGTCGCGAAGAGTTTTGAATTGACGACCATAATCAGTCACAAAGAGAGAACCACAACAAAGAGAGAACAATCCATCTCAGAGTTGATTGGCCCAAGAGGTAGAGGATCGGAAAGAGAAAGCGCAGCCTCAGGCGCGAGCCAGGCATCACGTGAAGTGGTGCAACCATGAAATCTTTGATCAAGGTGGAGAAGAGAACACCAAGAATTATCTGATCAGTAGTACGCCAGGTTGCGTCCTCCATCATTTGTAATGGAGCCAAAGATTCATTATTTTTTGGCTTGAGATTATGATGGAATAAAGCAAAATGACTCACTAAACTGTCTGCGCTTTTTTGTTATGAAGCAACAGTCAGTCCATGCAATTTTGGATGAGATTTTCACTTTGGGTCATCCGTAAACAATCTCTTTGTGCTTTAGTATAGGGGTAAGTCTGCATATATCCGACCCCCTACCCCACCGTAGGTGGGAGCCTTGGAAATCAAAATGAAAATGAGTACGCCATGTTGCGTAGGCTGGGTTGGGGATTTCATATGAATATATGGTGACTGTTTGTGGATGGACAGAGACTGAACCGTCCACATGACCGAGAAGATCAAAAGCGGCGAGCATTGGAAACACCTGGCTCTTCCAAAGGATCGATGGTAGTTTGATGGTAACCATATGTACCACGATTGCAATAGGAACAGCATCCGAGCAAGCGGTGGGAGAAGCCATGACTAAACAAAAAATAAAGGTGAAGGAGATGATCTTCTTGACCTTGGTTACACAGAGGTGCACTGAATGATTGGCAACACAACAATCTCCTTCTTCTCTCTTGATTGATATGAACGAATGTAGAGCATGAGTCATGAAAGCTCTTTGATATCCTTCATATAAAAAAGGATTACAATAAGAATTGTAGATCTTGGAGTATATATAATTAAGTAAGATTCGAGAATGAATGCACAAACTCTAGATGTAGCCAGATGTAAAAGTGATGAATAAGTGTCTTCAATCTACCTAGTCTTGGTTTGACTCAAGACTCCAATTGACTTGAAGCATTAAGAAAAAGTGGAGGAACAAATTTACATGTATTCAGAAATGTCTCGCCAAACTCTTGGTATGTAAAGGAGTAAGAAATTTACATAGGTGTAGAAAATCGTTAAATAAGATAAACAAGAAATACTAAGATAAAAAGATTTAGATATGTAATTGGTTTTGTTTATTGTTATATCTTCCTAGAAACCGGACCAGCCTACACCCTAATCATACTTTTATCACTTTCAAACTTGTTGTCATTCCTTATTTTCTTTTGTTAAAGAAAATCAATCACTTTCCTCTATTGCTCCTGTCCTATCCTATCTGAATGTTTTTCTTTTTGTTTTTCTAATTTAGTAAATTCCTCAAAATAAGAGTAAACATAAAAATCTTCAAAATAAAATTATGTATCTTTATATCTTACTCTTCAAAATATAACTTATTCCGTCTCATTAAAATAATAAAAGAATAAAAAATCATAAATAGATGCCCAAGAATCATATTTTGGGAAGAAAAATGTTTAATATTGCATGCCTTTTATTACAGAGTATCAAGAGTAGTACATGTTATACTTTTAAGTTCTATACCTTTCAATTGAAGATAAGGTTTAATACCGAGTACTAAAGGTTTAACGGAGCTTTTTTATTTTGTTAAAAACTTACGGAGTATTTGTTTAGGTTTTTTTCATTCTAAAAGGTTGAATCCCCAACCCCAAGGATCCCCACTCCCTGATCCGACAAGAATTTTTGGTGGTTGTAAATCATGATGACTCAGTCGATCAAATGGTGACAGACTTTGTACCCGTGCACACCAGAGGTCCAGTCCAACACGTAGGAGTTGTAACTTTCAGACGGTCACTACAAGTTTCAATCCTTCATTATTCTACCAAGTTTCCAACGACTCAAAACACCAAATGAACAAACCCCATGCAAAATTTGTTTAGGTTTTCTTCCAAAAGAAAATGAAAGTGGATAAACCAATGTTTTAAAAACCGACCCGACCCGACCGGATCGACCCGGAACGCGGCGATACGGACCGAAATACGGTTAGGTTAATTAAAAACCGAGAAATGTTCAAAACCCGTGACTCGGTCAAATGGTTTCCTGGTCCCCGTTTTTAAACATGGGATAAATCTACATCCAAGCTTCCCACAAGGAGCAGTGTATCACCACGTCTCAAGCTCTCCATACATTCTTGTAGGATAGGGTGAAGCTGCCATCCATCCCGCAAAAGCAGGGGAGCAAATGCCGGCTGCTACTTCCTTTCTCTGCTCTCCCGCCTTGGCCTCCCACCATTCATCCTTTGTAGTAATCCCTTCATTCCCCCCCTCCTCCCTAAAACCCCACTCGAGGTTTATCATCGATCCATTTCCGAAATGCCAGCCTCTCTTCTTCTTAACTCTGCCACAAGCTACCACCACCAGCCGCAAAAGCTCTTTTTTGCCTCTCCCTTCGGCTCTTTCCGTCCCCGAAGCTCCTGGACTACCTGCCGACTCCTTCTCGGTGCAGCCGAAGATTGATAAGAGCGGAAGATTTTGCAGCCCCCGGGCGGCTCGGGAGCTTGCTCTGTATGCCATTTCCTTTTCCGTATTTACGATTGTCTCTCTTTATCATCATATATTATATATATATATATATGTATATTTTTTTGTTGCTACATGTATGTGTTTGCTTGGTCGTGACCGGATCTCAGAATGACTTTGTACGCTTCGTGCTTAGAAGGATCCGACCCAGTTCGACTATTCGAGAAGAGGTTGAATCTCAGAAGAGGTACGTTTAGTAGAAACTACTCAAACTAGATTATTGGTTGGATGTTGTTATGTTCTACAATTGAATGGTATAGAATTTATGTGTGTTCAGAACGTGGCTATGAATTTGATAAAGAGTGGTTAATGAAGTATAACCATATGAGTTTTGGAGGGCCACCCGTGACAGCAGAAACATTGGAGGAAGCAGATCGACATGAGTTGAATGATGAAAAGGAATCTGAAGCAGGTCAGTTTTTTACCACTTATAAGTTTACATTCTATAGGAATCTCAATGTTTGGGTGTTGAAATCTCTCATTTGTTGCATAGTTCATTTACAAAACTGGTAGGATAATGAAAATAATGAAGAAGACATGTCTTGTACGGTTGTACCTTTACTTCTCCTTTTCTGTTTAACTTTTGTCACAAGTATTTGATAACTTTGGCTTAACTGGTTAATTGAGTATGTAATTACCTAAAAGAGTAGTATGCAATAGGATTTCAAATGGAATGGAACAATCTTATGGAAACAGTAGAACACTTTCAAGTAAATAACATTGCCAGTTCTGCATCTGTTTTTAATGGTGGATAAGTTGAGTAGGTAAAACAGTTCAAATGTCGATTTGTGGGCAAAGAGTCATTCATAAAATGGATATCTAAGTCATTCTTTTGCAGTGGAATCATTCTCTTTTGTAGCCTTCTCTACAAAATTGATAACCACCTTCCACACTTGTGCAATTGTAGAGCAGTCGCATTAGCACGTAGTGGAATGGGATATATGACCAGTCATTGTAAAGCAATTAACTGTGTTGTTTATCGCTAGTCCTTTGTGCATCAACTAAAGATATATTTGCATCCTCACAATAAAGGTCTGCTACTTCTTTCCTTTTTTGTTTAGAAATTGCTCTAAATAGAAGCAAAAACGTTTTGAAATTCCAAAATAAGAGTATCATGTTTTTTATTCCCTTAATGGGAGTAATCTGCCAAGTTTGGAAGAAAATGCCATGTTTTAAAGCCTAGTAATGCCAAACTTGGCAGAAATTTACTCCTATTCAAGGAATAAAAAACATGATACTCCTATTTTGGAATTTCAAAACTTTTTTACTCCTATTTAGGGAATTCTCCCTTTTTTGTTTTGTTTTTTTAAGTAGTTTGGCTAAACCTTATGTTGGATTTTACTCTGGGATGATCCAAAATAAAACCCTTGGACTGAGTAGGAATGCTTAAAACAAAATAGAAAGTGGCAAGCCGAAAGCTCTACGAGAATTGGATAGTATAATGAGTATATCTTTAGTAAACATTTCGTGTCCTTTACAGATGGTGATTAATCATCTTATACAGGGAGCGTAACCGTCCGCCCCTTTAATACATCATTAACCCAAAGCTGTAATTACTAATACTTACAATAATATTTGTCTTGAATGCTGATGATCTGGATTTCATTGGTGACCGTTGCATTGACAGGACTGAACACTAACTAACTGGACGGTTGCCTCATTATCCGTCCAAGTGTTGCATAATTATCTCCATCATTATATATCACTATTTTCTTTAAATTGCTTTAAGTCAAGTACTCAAGTATGTTTGCTCACAGAAATGGTGGTAATAATTTGATATGGCTCACTTTTGCTTTGTATTTTAAGTCTGGAAATGGAACTGGGGTTATCATATTGGATATCAATGGATTAGACTGCTTTTTTATGCTTTCTATCTGATTGCAATGTACCGTTTTCGACAATACAAAACTTCTAGGATATGAATTTAAGTCTGCCTTATTTAACTCCAAAAATTTAATGAAGACATGTCTTGAACCTCCACTTTTCCTTTTCTTTATTATTACTGTTATCCCAAGTTAGCAAACACACAATGAAATTCTGAAATTAGCCAATGTTGAATTGGGAGTAAATGAGTAATATTTTGAAATTCCCAAGAAGGTGAATGCTTTGTATAAGATCACCTCATGGTCCATGGAATAAGATAAGTGACAAGAATGTAAAATTATTTCAAGGTGTTTCTTTCATGGAATGTGATATTACTTGGGTCATTAAGTTGGTAGGGATGAAGTCAAGGTAGTCTTAGTGAACCTATGAACCACGGAAGTCACGTTTTCCCGTTTCGGAAACTCGGAATTGTTACAGAAACTCAAAAACTTCAAGTTCTTGTTTCGGGGCCGTTTCCGTAATTAAGAAGAATTGGGAAACCCGATTCCTTAAATAAATAGTGTTTCGAAAACCTTGTGTTTCCGGTTTTTTCTTCTTTAAGAGATTCTATGATGGAAAATAATGTCTTTTTTATAAATTTTAGTGAATGTTTGTGGCATTTCTCCTAGAAACATTGTGACATTTCACAACGCAATGCATTGCTAGAAGCCTAGATCCGTATTGCATTTTATTTTTAATTATTTACTAATATCTTGTAGAGTGTTTATATTATTGGGTTATTGAACAAGTTATACTAAAAATTTATGTGCATATATATAAATGAAAAAACATTTGTACATATATGAAAAAATATTTGTAAATATATTCTTATATTTTTTTAATATTTACGTGTTTCCCCCACGTTTCGTATCCTATATTTTTTAGAAGTTAAGTTTCTCGTGTTTTCCTAAAATACATCAAACAAGGTAATCTAATACTACCTTTCACACATTACCAAGGTAATGTGACTGTGAGATTCCCCTGAAACTCGGAAGCGTTACAGAAACTCAAAAACTTCAAGTTCTTGTTTCGGGGCCGTTTCCGTAATTAAGAAGAATTGGGAAACCCGATTCCTTAAATAATTAGTGTTTCGAAAACCTCGTGTTTCCGGTTTTTTCTTCTTTAAGAGATTCTATGATGGAAAATAATGTCTTTTTTATAAATTTTAGTGAATGTTTGTGGCATTTCTCCTAGAAACATTGTGACATTTCACAATGCAATGCATTGCTAGAAGCCTAGATCCGTATTGCATTTTATTTTTAATTATTTACTAATATCTTGTAGAGTGTTTATATTATTGGGTTATTGAACAAGTTATACGAAAAATTTATGTGCATATATATAAATGAAAAAACATTTGTACATATATGAAAAAATATTTGTAAATATATTCTTATATTTTTTAATATTTACGTGTTTCCCCCACGTTTCGTATCCTATATTTTTTAGAAGTTAAGTTTCTCGTGTTTTCCTAAAATACATCAAACAAGGTAATCTAATACTACCTTTCACACATTACCAAGGTAATGTGACTATGTGAGATTCCCCTGAAGAGTTGATCTTAAGATTGTTGGAACCATGAAAGTATTTTGTCCTAAAGTTGTATCATAGTGATGCAATTTTTAATGTTTTAAGTGAGAACTCTTTATTATTAAAGCAAGTGTTACAACCTAACACATAACTGGGAAAGTCTATCAATTATATTGGACATCGGTCATAATAAGTTAGTTTAGTACGATGGGGAAGCACTCTAGGAACGGTAAGAACAGTTTCATATACCATGACATAGTCAGTTCTGAAAAAAAATTTCCTATGGTCTTTTCGTGTGGAAATAAAATGATGAAAAACTGACAAAACACTCTTGATACACACTATGCATTTAAGTTAGAGTAGGTAAAAACAGTTTAAACATGTTTTGTGAGCATTGACTCAATCATATAATGGATATCTGGGTCACTTTTTTGTTGTGAAAATTTTCTTTTTAGTTTCTCTCCTTTACACCCTGGTGGTAGGACCATAGTTGTCATGGAGGATGGTGACAGTCATGGCACCAAGACATATTTCTGTGGCAATGGTGATGGCATTTATGGCGTCGTCACATGGCACAAAAAATATATACTAAAGTCTAAAACTTATGACGTATACAACAACAACATCCAAGCCTTAGTCCTAAAGAGTTTGGGGACTTATGACCTATAGGCTATAGACAATATAAATTTATAATTCAGTCACCAAACAATGAGCACACGAGTCGAATAACCACATTCTAACCAAATATGTTATATGTCAAGTTAAAATAGTTTTAAGTAGTTCCAAGAATAACTTAATATCCAAAAAGAAGTTTTAAGTATGACAAAATATGTCAATGTGTTGTTCGTGTTCGATGATTATGATCTAATCATTAATTGTCACACTCCTCATCATCATTTGAATCTGAATCCGCATTTCAAGTCATTGTTATTCTTTTCCTTCAGCTTGTCACAATGTTCCCAATATTCCTCAGTTATTCTCTTTTGTCGTTGGTGGATGTGCAGTTCCCCTTTAGCTTTGTCACTTGTGTGCAGCTTTCTCTGACAGAGACATTAGTTGCACAGCTTATCTGGCTTCAATTCTATGTTGGCTGATCTCTGTTTAGTTCAGTTATTAGGTGTTTTTTTATTATGAGCGGGCTGACTTCTTAATTAGTAATCACTAACTAGGGAAAAATGATTAGTAAGGTGCATATGGTCAGCCGCATGCATACCGGTCGCTAGGAAGCATTATTGTGGCGAACCCTCTTCAGACCCCCAGTGGCGTTTTATGGCGCGTGCCATTTGCGAATGTCAACAATGGGTAGGACCCTTCGCTGGACCTTCTCCTTGCGGGGGTGCCCCTTTTAGTTTCTCTCCTGTCAAAATTGACATGCTTCCCAGTTCCACATGAGCGCCGCAAAGGGATTGACATGTAATGACTAATTAGTGTAAAGAACTAAAATTTGTAGCGTCTCAGTAATCGTTAGTGAAAAATATTTCCGCATCCTGCCATCCTCACAATTAAAACCATGTATCTTATGTGGTCTATGTGGGCGGCTCTTGCTTGGGTTTAAGATACTACTACTATTATTATTATTATTACTCCCTCCGTCCCGGTCATTTCTTCCAACTTTCCTTTTCGGACCGTCCCAATTAATTCTTCCAACTTCCACTTTTGGAAAAAATATGTGTTTCACATTCATTCACTTTTTTCTTACACAACTACAACCATACATTTCCACTTTATTCCCACTATCTAAATTTGCGAGCCAAGTCAAAACCGGAAGAAATGACCGGGACAGAGGGAGTATTTAATTAATAGTTTCCTATTAGCAACATATTACTATTAGATAGTACTAGTTACTATTGGTATTAGTATTCTATTTTAGTGGAGTTCATAAAAATGATATAGTAATAGACTCTTGAGAGCGGTATATATAAAGTGTTTCTTTTAATTAATTTTGTTTCGTTTTGTCCAAATGAAATTATTATGCTTCCTTACTTCCTCACCAAGTCTTATGATTTTCTTCCAATTCTT